CAAGTATAAGTACACGTACAAGTACACGTACAAGTACACGTACAAGTACAAGTACAAGTATATAAGTACACGTTCAAGTACAAGTACAAGTACAAGTACAAGTACAAGTACAAGTACACATACACATACACGTACAATGAGTATATGTGTGCGTGAACACTAACGTTGTGTACACAAAGTGTGCGAAACACACAGACGGTATGTGGCAACATCCGACCACAACGCATAGCCGAAAGTGTTCAGATTTCCCACTGCACACAACTTCCGCAGTTGATTTGTGACCATTTCTCTCGGCTATTCTCAGAGTAACAACTGCTGTCGCACACTTAGATCAGTGAAACCTTAAAACCCAGACTGCTGTTGGGACCATCCGGCATACAGAAGATTGTATGTACATACTTGTTCAAACCAGTACACACACACCCATATCATACCATAAAGTAGTCCAGCGTTGACGGCTGGTGGAAGTAGCGACGCGGAGATGGCCACCCCAACCAGTGACGGCGTGTTGTTTCCGAGAATGGACAACGCTACACCTGCACCCGACTGTGAGGGGTAGGACCGATAGGGCACAGGGCAATGAGCCAGTGGGTGCAGTAGCTAACACGTGACTGACTGTTAACAGGGGACGTGGCGAATGTGTTGCACTGGTCACTCACTCTGGGGTGCTGTTCTATGCTATGGGGATATGCTACTGTACGATAGATGTGGGTGAAATGTCGGTGAGAAGGTAGTAACACGCTATGAGCTTGTATGTAGTATATGATTGAAGCGATATCTCTGATTATAGGGGCATGCACAGAACTAAACCATACCGGTATGGCGATGCCCAGAGAAATGATACATGACTCCCATTTGCCACGACTAATCATCTCGTTATTAGGCCAATTGAAGTTCTCGTCATTCGCTAGCGGCGTGCATATGGCCCCGATGATAAAGCTGTAGTATACGGAAGACAGAAACTGGTCAGTGAGAGCTTTTGTGGATGGGGTGATTATATATATATATATATAAATATATATGTATATATATATATATATATAATAAATATATAT